CTGGCTCTGCCTCCCAAGTGCTGGGATTAAAGGCATGCGCTGCCGCCGCCGCCGCCGCCGCTCCCCCACCCCCCCAGCCGGTCTTTTTTCCCTATGTCTAAAGATGAAGTGTAGTGATTAATTTCATTCTTTATATTTGCCTTTATCTGTTTAAATACTAGTGATCATGATGTTAGGGTGGTTTTTATGAAGCTCCCCTACTTTCTTATTGTTAAATTGAAGAAGATAGACCACAAGCCTCTCCGCACTACAGCCCTGCTCTCTCTAAGCTGTTTAGTAGAGGACATGGATCAGGGCTCTTCCTAGAGCTTGGGCACCTTTATGTGCTGATTGACACCTTCAGGGATATTAGCCCTAGTCCCTTGACTTTGTTTTTTTGAACATTCCTTAATGGTCTTGAAAGGAATGCAGAAAGTAGACCTGGTGTCAGGGCCTCTGTCTTCTGTCCGAAAAACAGACATTGAGTGTCTGTCTAGACTCAACTGCAGTCTGTGCTTAGATGACTGAGGCCACTAAACCAAGCTGAGGGGACCTTGAATGTTTGTGTCGTTTGCCTCCTGCCTTTGTAGGGCACCATGGTTTTTGTGGGAAGCCCTGGGCCAGACAGAACTGGTTCAGAATGCCACTCGTGTGTTCAGCGGTTATGTGGCCTCTGATCACTGACTTAACCACCCTTCACTTCCGTTTCCTTGGAGGAGGAGGAGGAGGAGGGTACATGTGCACATGGACAGAGTGTGGGAGTGTGAGAGGAGCACTGGAGACACGGGGAAAGGGCAGACTGGCAGAGATGCTCAGAATTGCTGCATCTTCCGTTTCCAAGACTGAGGCACATCTCGGGACAGAGTGTCCCAGGAACTGCATTTGCTTGTCTTTGAGTTGGAGTTTATGCTAACATTATGTCAGATTCCTTTCAGCTTATTGTGAGACCTTTTTCCTTGCTGCATTTGTTTATAGGACTTTTTCTTTTGGCTACTTACTTGGGAGTCCTTGTCTGATGGAAGAGTTGCCCTTACCGTAGGTTAATTATATACCTTTCAGCCCTAGTCTTTTTAATTGTGTGGTATGACTGGGTTGTAAGTACACATTTCACAGATAATCACCCGCTAAAGAAAATAGTCTCTGGTTGTATCTGGGTTGTGGTAGGACATTACATGTCAAAGGACCACTGCCTCTCAGATATCTGTCTAATGCTGCATGGGATATGTGATTCCCATGCATGGGTGAGTTATGTATAGTTGACACTGGCAAGAAAAGCTGAAAAAAAGGAACCATGCTTCTGATGGGTAGGCATATAAACCTCAGATTTTGAGTACAAAGTATGTTTGGAGTTGATTCATAGACCCAAACTAAAATAAACTGGAGTTTCAGGACCAGTGAGGTAGCTCAGCAGATAAAATCACTTGCTGCCAAGAGAGCCTGAGTTTGATCCCTGAGACCCACATGATGGAAAGAACTGACTCTCCACAGGTTGTCCTCTGACTTCACTGTGGAATTCGTGCACCTATACATATCCTCACCTATTCTCTAAAGAGCATACCTTACTCTAAATACATGTTATAAAGTTGTTTAAATAAGAGCTGGAGAGATGGGTCACTTGCTGCTCTTCAGCACCATGTCAGGTGGCTTACAGTGGTTTATAACTCCAGCTTCAGGGGATCCAAGGCCTCTGGCCTGAGAGCACCTGCACTCTTACGCACATAACCACATGTAGGCACACACACACCTATGTATAATTAAAAATAATAAAAATAAATATAAAAAATTTAACATAATTTAGAGGTTAGAAATGCAGCTAGATGTAGATACTTTAATGTTCAAACTCATCAAAATGCATTTTTATAGATATTAATAACTTGTTTATACCAACAAGGAAGCTAAAGAAAGGTAGATTTTACAAGTATATGTTGGAAAAGAAGTTAATGAAATGACATTTTGATGTTAGGAGTTCCCTCTCTCAAGGTACTGTTATAGAAAAAAAAAATACCCTTAAGGAATATGCTTGAAATTTTCTAAAAATACCCTATTAATTTAGAGAATTTTTTTCTATAGTTGAATTATCACAACTATACTAGTTACTAGTTCTTGATACATTTTATTTCAGCTGTATCTTAAGATCTCCCTGTAGTCCACATTGGATTATTCTCTATCCAGTTTCAGACATTACTCCCATTTCATCTGTAAATACTTCCTTATGTGTATCTAAAAGATAAAGGTGCTTGGAGTATGTAACTTACTATTCTAACAGAATGACTATAGTTGCTTAGTGTGACACACAGAAGGATTTGTTTAGTCAGCTGGTTCACCACGTCACAGATTGCTAGTGTTTTAAGACAGTAGATTATTTAGACCGAGGGACGGTTCATCACTAAACGTTAGTGTTCTTCAGTTGTTATTGAAAGCTAATTACTTTCACTCCACTCCTTAGAGTTTGTTGAAATCTTAGGGTGACCTATATGTGATAATCTAAACTTTTAGTAGCCTGGGCAGTTCATTCTGTACTAGGCTGATTTGTTGGATAATAGGTATTTGGCACAAGGCTGGGATTTCTGTGTGGATTCATTCCCTCCTAATGCTGCTGTTCTCATTATCTGTGCAGACAGTCACTGTTAGGTGATAATGACGTTTCATTTCTCTTCCCAGACCACACACGCTGCAATGTGTGGATTTTAGATGGAGACCTCTACCACAAAGGCCTGCTGAAATTTGCAGTTTCAGCTGAATCTTTGCCGGAGACCCTGGTCATTTTTGTTGCAGACATGTCTAGACCTTGGACTGTAATGGAATCTCTACAGAAGTGGGCTAGTGTTTTACGTGAGCACATTGACAAGATGAAAATTCCACCAGAGGAAATGAGGGATCTGGAACGGAAATGTGAGTAAAATTTACTGGTCTCTGAATTACTATGGCCACCTTCTTTTTCAGCTAAGTAGGTTTACTTCACATAGAATCTGCTTTTGTTTTGAAATACTTCTTTTAGTTATTGAATTCAGTTTTCAAAAAATAATTTGAAGGGCTGGAGAGGCGATTCAGTGATTAATAGTACTTGCTGCTCTTGCAGAGGACCCAAGTTCAGTTCCCAGCATCTTTATTAGGCAGCTCACAACCTCCTGTAAGTCCCATTTTCAGGGCATGTGGTCACTATCATGCATATAGTGTACATACAGTCAGGCACTCAAGTGCATGCAAACACAGACAGACAGACAGATGAAAAAGAATACTTTGGCCTGATTTGGTGGTGCATGCCTTTAATCCCAGTACTTGAGAGGCAGAGGCAGGCAGATCTCTGAGTTCAAGACCAGCCTGATCTACATAGCAAGTTCCAGGCCAGCCACAACTACATAAAGAAACCCAGTATTTAAAAAAAAACAAAAAAAAACAAAAAAACAAAAAAAAACTTAGGAAGGTTTGCTTTGTTTTGGCTTATGGCTTCAGAGGTTCCAGTCCAGTTTCCTCTGGACCTGAGATGAGTCTGTCTGTCCTTGCAGAAAGGAGGCAAAGAAGGGTAGGGAGAAGGGGAAAGGTATCAAAGGCATACCACCATGCCTCCTTCCTTCAGCTTGGCCCCCCTTCTAGTAGCCATTCAGCTGAGTGCACATGAGTGGAAATCTACTGAGAGCTTAGTGCCCATTCCATCCCATAACTTAGTAATGCCACCAGCTAGGGACAGTCTTTGGGAACATTTTTCTTCCAAACCCTAAGCCCATGTTTCTGGAATCCTGTGGAGATCCCATGTCTCCTTGTTGGCAGGTTTAATAAAAATCCTAAAGAAGAGAAATCTTTCATTTCCAACTACTTCATTTTGAAATCTAGCAAATATGATTACATTCAGGAATAGGAAGGTTGTTTTTTTTTTTTTGTTTGTTAGTTTGTTTGTGGGAGGGGTCATTAAAATACAATAAAAGTTAGCCAGGAGGTGGTGATACACGCCTTTAATCCTAGCACTCGGGAGGCAGAGGCAAGTGGATCTCTGTGAGTTTGAGGCCAGCCTGGTCTATAGAGTGAGTTCCAGGACAGCCAGGGCTGTGACACAGAGAAACCCTGCCTTGAAAAACCAAACCAAAAAAAAAAAAAAAAAGCTATTTTAGGGTTAAAGACAGATGAATCCTTCTGAGAACAAAGAACTTTCAAATTAAAGGAAGTTTAGTGGGTTTTCAAATGTGGTTCAGAAGCTTGTTTTTCCTTCCTTTGCTTCTGTATAGTTACATCAGCTTCTGTCCCTCTGCCAGGGAAACGGGAGGGGCAGGCAGTGGAACCGGCAGCCGCTGCGTCTTGGCCAGTGCAAGCTTGGCTGCCTCTGGCTTAGTGCCACAGGGTGACATCACTCCCCTTGGTGGATGGATGAGGGCTCTGGAGCATGGCACATAGTATCTGCACATTGGCAAGAGAGTTCTAAAGTTTTGATGGTGCTTTTCTTTTTTTCTTTTTTTGTTCTTTTTTTAATCTTTCATTTTCTTTCCCACAAATAGCATGTCTGTTCCCTTTTTAAGTAGTATACTTCATTATGGAAGTCATTAACTGTTGTTTTATCTTCGAGACAGTGGCTGCGCCTTAATCTACTACTAGAGAAGCAGTTGATGGTGCTTTTCAATTTCCTACTGTATGTCTTCCTGTCCCTCCCATCATCTCGCCCGTTGTCATTAACTAAAACAGGCACTTAACACCTTATCTTTCCTTTGTTCGTGTGTGCTTCCCGGCTCATCCACATGTGGGTATAGTGATTGTCATGCAGTTCATCTCATCTGTCTCCAACCACTGACCTCTTTAGATAATGCCTCTTTTTCTTGCAGAACAGAGATGCTAAAAACATCTCAGCAGAGTAGCTCTAGGGCAGAGAAGCTGTTTCTAGACCATTGCACACAGCTTCATACCCAGACTAGTAAACTAATGTGCTACAGACTTCAGTTCTGTGAATGCATTTTCTTAGATTGATAACCTTATGAAGATTTACTAAAATAGAAAAAGATCCACATTGGCCAATGTACCACTCTTTCTCAGATAAGGAAAGTGTGAGGTACCAGGTGTTGTTCTAGGTGCTGGGGATACAGCAGACAGGATACCTATTCTTGGGGAGCTTGTGAAGTGAGACACTGAATTTATTTAATGATCTTAGTCATTGGTGTCTGTGTCACAGAAGATTAGATTTAGCGACATATGACAGGAAACTGGAGAGGAGGATGCCTTAAACAAGAAAGAGATTTATTTCTCCTGAAAATGAGGTCTAGAGGAAGGCAGTTTGCAACTAAGGAGCAGCCTGGGAAGAGAGCTCCAGAGCCCTGGCTCAGTTTGTGCTTTCCGATCGTCATTTTGAGGGTGTGGTTCTTTTCCTCTTGACAGCTAGAACTTGAGCAGTGTGCCTGTGTTCCAGGAAGGCAATGCTGAGGTGCACGTGCCTGCTATCTTTTAAAGAGGCTGAGAATGGAGTCTTTTTGTTTTTCTAAAGGGTGTGTGCACGTGCACGTGCAGGTTGACTTTCAGAAGGTTCTCTCCTTCCACTACAGGTACCAGGGGTTGAGCTCAGTGTTTCACAGTGAGCACTTTTGTCTGCTGACCTTGTTGCCAGTACAGAAAAAAATCTTAATTCTGTGTGGCTGTGTGTTTTGAGTACCAGGGCTCTGTCGGGTTGGAGAGGAGAGGAGAGAATACTGGAGGGTTTCTAGCAATTGCTGAACATGTCTGTGCTGAGGGTCTCTGCTTTTACTGTCCCTGGTCTGTGATGTTTGGAATGGTAGCCATGTCTATGTGCTGCATGTTGAAGGAGTGTTTTTGTTCATGATGGTTTTAGCTTACCTTTTAGGACGGTAGTTAGTTGTTTGTATTCTTGCTCAGAGGATTACTGCCTTCCAGATTGATTAGTTTTCTTATTAAGATTTATTGTATTTTCAATTATGGGGGACACAGTATTTATGCATGTGAATGCAGGTGTTGTGTTGGATCCTCCTGCAGCTGGAGTTAGAGGAGGTTGCTAGGCAGTCCTTTTCGAGAGTAAGACATGCTCTTAACTCCTGAGCATCTCTCCAGCTCCCTGTAGTATTATTTTCAATAAGTGAACACTACTTTACAATCAAGTTTCCATTCTAGCCTGTCTGATTTGGAACTGCTTTGTGATCAGCCACTGTGATCCAGAGCTGGCAAAATGAAAGCAACTCCTAGAGCTGCCAGAAGGTGGCGCTTGTTTATAGCATGCTGTGCTAATTCTTGTTGCTGCAACAACAGGACAAGACAATGTAAAGAAGGATTTTTGTTGTTCCTCTCTTCCTTCCTTTCTTTTTTTGGCTGTTTGAGGGAATACAGTCCATCATGACGAGAAGGGAAAGCATGGTGTCAGGAATATAAGGTTATTGTTGGTCCCAATAATACATCTGCAGTCAGTGAGCAGAAATGAGTACTAGTGCTCAGCTTGTTTTTTCATTTTTTAAATCTAGTCTAAGAGCAGGGACTATGGTGTGGAGACATGGTGAAAACTTTACTACCTTTGTGAAAGGGCAGATAGGCATAGATGCTCTGAGTCTCTGTATCCATAAACCGTGAATAAACCATAGATAAGTCTGGAAACACTCTTACAGGCACACCCAGAGGTGTGTCTCCTATTTATTTATTAAATGTAGGGTCTCTCTGTGTAGTTCTAGGTGTCCTGGAACTCTCTGTTGACCAGGGTGGCCTCAAACTGAGACATCTTCCTCTGCCTCTCAAGCACTAGATTGAAGGTGTGCACCACTATGCTTTTTCCTAAATGATTTTAAACCTTGTCATGATGACAAATGAGCTATCACAGGACTACTCCTTGTCGAGTCACTATCCGAACCCCCTGCTTTAAACCCTAACAGTTGGTGTACTCCCTGCTGCATGTCAGGCTTTTTCATAGAAGGAGTCTCTCAAAACTGCGTCCAGTGTTGGTGAGGTAGGAAGAAGGAGGAGCCACAGTAGCAGTGAAGCTGGAGTAGTGGGGACCTCCTTCAGCCCTGGAGCTTGATGTTTCTCCTGTGACATGTTGGCACTTCACCACCTAGAAAGTGTGACAGTGAGCTACATTTTACTTTCAGGATTATAGTTCTCATTTTTTGTAAACTACCTTTTTTTTTTTTATTTTCCCATGTGTTATGCATTATTTTTTGTCTTCTGATCTGTTTTCTACAATGTTCTTTTAAAAATATGTGAATGTCCTACTCTTGTTAAACAGCCAGGCTTTGTTTTTTTGTTTTGTTTTGTTTTGAGATATGGATCTCACTTTGTAGCTCCAGCTGGCCTGGGATTTGGTGTGTAGACCAGGCTGGCCTGGAACTTACAGAGATCTGCCTGCCTCTGCCCTGGGAGTGCTGGGATTAAAGATATGTGCAACCATGCCCGACAAATAGCCCAGTTTTTCGATCATTTAGAATAGCAGTTCTCGACCTGTGGGTTGCAACCCCTTTGAACAACTCTTTCACAGGGATCAAATAGCAGGTGTGCTGCATATCAGGTATTTATGTTATAGTTCATAATAGTAACAAAATTACAGTTAGCAAGTAGCAACAAAAATAATTTCTTGGTCTTCCATAGTGCTTTATTTCTCTATTTTTTGTGTGTATGGGTATCTGTGCATCATGTGTGTGCAGTGCTCATGGAAACCAGAAGAGGGCGTCAGATCCTTTGGAACTGGAGTTATAGGTGGTTGTTAGTTGTTTTGTGGAGGCTGGGAATTAAACCTGGGTACTCTAGAAGAGTAGTAAGTGCTCTTTACCAATAACCCATTATCTCCAGTCCCCCACCCTCCTCTTCCAATGCTTTTAGTTACATTTCCTTTATATGGTTTTGGTGAAAATATAAAAGGCCTTTTTCAGTCCTGTGGTATATTAGAAAAATAGAGCTGCCTATTGGATCCTAAGCCTCGAGGGGTTTTTACTATTATATGAAGATTTAGATTTGGTGACTCACAGTTATAATCCTAACACTCAGGAGTCAGAGGGAGGGACAGGGCAATCGTTGCAAGTTCAAGGCCAGTATGGTCTACATGGTGAGTTCCAGGCCAGCCAGGGATACATAGTGAGACTTTGTTCAAATACAAAACAAAACAAGATAAAACCCATCATTTGAACTTTGAAGTGCTCACATATAGGTTCAGGTTTTCAGTCTTTGTGTTAAGTTGGCTTAACTATAGCCATTGGCTACTCCATCTAAGAATCCCTTTTTTTCCCCAGAGACAGGGTTTCTCTGTAGTTTTGGTGCCTGTCCTGGATCTTGCTCTGTAGACCAGGCTGGCCTCAAACTCACAGAGACCCGCCTGGCTCTGCCTCCCGAGTGCTGGGATTAAAGGCCTGCACCACCACTGCCCAGCTCCTTTTTCTTTTTGCAAAGACTTATTTGTCTTATGAGTGCTCAACTTATACATATGTATGTGTACTCCATGCCTAGTGTTCATGGAGGCCAGAAGAGGGTACCCTGAAACTGGAGCTACAGATGGTTGTGAGCTTCCACATGGGTGCTGGGAACTGAAGCTGAGTCCTCTGCTCAGTCAGTCCTCTGAGCTCAGCTCCCTCAGGGCCCCTTTAACCAAGACAACAAATGTGGTGCCAAGAAGCAGACATGTTGGTGAAGTTGTGCAGCGGTGTTTGCTCTGCCCATGACCTTGGGCTGTACCACCTGAAAGAGGCGGTGCTTCTTGCCTTCCTACGTGAATTGCCTCTTAAGAGAGAGGGGTCACGTGGTGGCTTTGGAGGGGGACGTGATAGGATATGGGATGACCAGTTTGTGTGGATGCTGGGAATTGAACCCGGGTCCTCTGGAACATTAGTCAGTGCTCTTAATAGCTGAACAAGCACCCACATGAATGTACCTGGCGGTCCGGTGTCCGATCACGCCCCACCCACCCACCAAAAAAAAAAAAAAGTCGCCACATGATCCCTCTCTCCTCTCTTTTTAAGAGGTTACATGTGAAGGCAAGAAGCACTGCCTCTTTCAGGCCATATAGCCCAAGGTCGTGGTCGGAGCAGATACCACTGCACAGTTGTGTTAGGTACAGATATGCCATGCACATTACATGTGTAACTCAAGATCCCCTGAAGACTAAGTTCATAAGAGTAGAGACAGGAGGAAATGTGGCTGGTGCTGGGCAGTCACATGGTCTGTGCTTGCCTCTGCTACATGGAAATGGCATGCTCTTCTGTAGTTCAGCATGTAGGCGTTTATAAGCTTTCCTAATGAGGATCCTGACTAGTTGTGTTACTGTGATTTCTAATGGTCACCTATGATGAAGTAATAGTTGGGCTGTCCATACTTTGAAAAATGTAGGCTATATGAGAGAAGTGTATGTGAGGGAATTATTGGTGTTCTTTGTTTTGTTTTATTTTTGGTGGTTTTTAATCATAGTAACTAGTACAAGCTTAAGAACTAGTACATGGAAAATCTCCAAGTTTGAGCCACAGTACTATTCTTAAAAACAAAATTTTAAAGCCTGTTTAGGAATCGCATGAAATTGAAGCTGTTAGGAACGTCTGCTGCTGTTGTCGCTCAGAGCTCAGTAGATGTGAGGTACCAGATGCAGATCTGGTACTTTGCATCACCGTCCCTAAACTCTAGAGCTGAGGCCTCTGCCATGCATAAATGCTTTTGTTTTTGTATTTGCTACTACTTTTTTTTCCTTAATTTTCTAAACCTGCGGTGTATTTTTATTTGTGTCTATGTAATTTTTCTCTTTTTCCTCTGTAGTTATGAAAGATTTTCAAGATTATATCGAGCCTGAAGAAGGTTGTCAGGGTTCCCCACAGAGAAGAGGGCCTCTGACCTCAGGCTCAGATGAAGACAGTGTTGCCCTCCCTCTGGGTGACAATGTGCTGACTCATAACCTGGGGATCCCAGTGTTGGTGGTGTGCACAAAGGTGCGTCCAGGGAATTGTAAGCTTGGCTGGGTTTGGCCAGTGAACAATCACCATCTGAAAGAGAGTTTCAGAACCTTTGATGAAGTTTTTTCTCAAGGGAGAATTGGGCTTATTCAGGATTCATTAAGTAAGGTACATTGACTGTCAGGGTAGAACATACTGTCATTTAATGCTGTGGCAACCTTGACATCACTTAGTTCAGAAAGCCCTGTTGACTTCATGGGCAAACTTAAACAAAAGCAGTTTTCTTAAGGGTCTGTAAGCCGGTTCATCTGGTCCAGACTGACAGTGAAAATAGAATGATAAAGTAGAAATAGAAGGTATGTCTCATATAAGAGGGGGAAAGTAGCTTTAAAAACATTTTGGATTTCAAAAGTGCTTTATTCCTAGTAAAAGCTACCTTGTGCGGTGCACAGTGGTGTGAAGTGCAGTGCACAGCGGTGTGAAAGGTCCCCTCCCAATATGACCTCATTGGATGTTGAAAACAATTAGGAGATGATCAGGCCTATTACATCTGTACTTTGTGTGTAAACTGAGGCCAGGATGAACAAGAACTCTCTTGTTCTTTTTATTCTTCTCTAATTAGTACCTGGACCCCTGTGGAGTTATTTCTTTAGAAATTCTTTATTTCTGAAGAAATCCCTGTTCCTATCTTCAGCAGCCAGACAAGCAGAATGCTAATATTCCTCTTGGTTTTGTCTCTCCTGCAGTGTGATGCAGTGAGCATATTGGAGAAGGAACATGATTACAGGGATGAGCACTTGGACTTCATCCAGTCACACCTACGGAGATTCTGCCTCCAGTGTATCCTTGGGATGCTGTAGCGGGCCCCAGAACACAGGCTTTCCTCCAAAGGGGGTGTCTTCAAAGCTCCCCCTGAACAGAGAGTAGTCCTTTTTTTCTTTTTTATTATACTTAATTATTGGGGGTGGGGCACATGAGTGTGGAGGTTAGAGGAAAACTTGGGGAGTCAGTTATCTCCTTCCATCATGCAGGTTCCAGGTCAAATTTAGGTTATCAGGCTTTCAGTCACTGAGCCATCTCACCTGTCTCACAGGGTACTTTTTTGCCATGGGGGAAAAAATTGTCATCTTTTGGTTAGTTTTATATTTTTGCTATGTTGGCATTTTATGTATACTAACTTAGGCATGTCTTCGGTCACTTTGTTAAGTATTATTATTTTTACTTTTGGACGGAGTCTTACAGTGTCACCCAGGCTGGCCTGAAGCTTATGCTCTTCTGCCCAAGCTTACTGAATGCTGGAATTAGACACGTGCTGCCATGCCCAGTTTAGTTGCTTTGTTTCTGAGGCTGTACTTTTGATTGGCTTTCCTATGAAGAAACTGATGCATGACCATTTTATGACAAATTACATTGATTGTACTTAGCCATCTTGTTAGACTTTGCTTTTACTCAGAGAGATACAGTCACTAATGTGGACTAGGTTAGATGCTGCAGGTTTTTTCCGTGTTTGTGCTACCCAGGAGAAAGATACCATGTCAGCAGCTTTTTGAGTCTTTTGTATAAAGCCAACAGCAGTTGGTATCTTAGTTCCACACCCTGGAGTAGGGGTGACAAGTGCTTCCTTTGAGCCCTTGGTTGACACCTATCTCTGACGGAGTACTTGATGGTAAACTCGTTCCTTTGTGAGCACCTTTGTGAGTAATCTGTGTGCCTCTGTATGCTGAGGTGTTGTCCACTGATTTTGCTGCTTAGGAAGCAGCCTTGAGAATTGACAGCAGTCTAAATGTTGAAAAAGAAAAGCAGCTGCTTCCTATACAGCCTCCACCTGTGTGGACTATTTCTCATGGTTCCTCTGCTCCTGTTCCTTTTTAGTTTTAAATTTTGCATGCTTTGTTGTTCGCATGTGGATAACAACAGATCACCTAGCTCTGTAAGGTGTGATATATTTATGTGTGATTGGTTTTTGTCTCACAATGAATTGGTTTTCCTTAAGCAGATTGAATAGATGGAGCTGCCTTGATTTACACCTCAGTGAAGGAAGAGAAAAACCTTGACTTGCTGTATAAGTACATTGTTCATAAGACATATGGCTTCCACTTTACCATACCCGCCTTAGTTGTGGAAAAGGACGCAGTTTTTATGTGAGTTCTTTGGAGGTGATGGCGTCTAAGCTCTTCTCTTTATAGTACATTTGCTGCTTATGTTGTGCTTTTCAGCACTTCTGTCTAAGAAAGTGCTTGGGCTGAACCTGACAGGTGACAGATAGATGCGGCCTTTCCTCCCTGCTCCTTCTGGATTGACTCATTTGGTTTAAGGGGAGTGGGTGGTGTGGTCAGAGGTGCTGCATTCCATCAGTGAAAGAAGGTAGTCAGAATGTAAGCCAGCCATTTTGTATACTTACTGTCAGTTCTGGTAAAGCATTGGCTGTGGAGAGATTCAAAAGGATAGAGATTTCAAGATTTCAGTTTGGGGTTCCAAACTGGGCTGTGTAAAAGCACCTGGTGACTGCTGTTTACAGGGTGATTGCAAGCCTCTTCTCCGTATCCCTGTCGGTGTGGGTTAAACTCTGCTGTTAGTACTTTCTGGCATTTGTATTTTTGCAAGCCTCTAGGATGGGCCATTGTGCCAGAGACTTAGCTAGCCTGTTTGCTGGAGTTGGCGTCTTTTCTAATTAGAGAATCAAGTTGCCATGTTTGTCCGTGACAGTGCTGTGGTCTTAGATTAGCAGATTGATGTTACAATTTGATACCTTCTGGACTTGATTGACAAGTACATTTGTCTATTCAGCAAGCTTTACACAGTACCTCCTAGGTACCCAGGTTCTCTGCTGAGGACACAGAAATGAATGAGATACGTTCCTGTTATCACATCGAGACAGACATATACTGAAGAGGAGGGTAGTGGTGGGCTAGTGTAGAGGGCCAGAAGGGTGTGTTGGTAGATGAGTGGACTATCTCAGGCAGACCAGAAGGAAGGGGCCAAGGGATCCATGAAAGGCCGAAAGTACAAGAGCCAGGTGCTTCAGGGAAACTGAACAGGTTATCTCCTGTGTGTTTGAAGAGAGTCTCGCTCAGACTGTTCATACCCTAACTCTGAAGAATCACCCAGAACAGTCAGACAGGCACTAAAGCAGAAACTTACTGAATGGTGTGCTTTTGTAATTACTTCATTTCTAATTACATGATCCTGAGTAGCAGGGATTCTGGTTGGATTTAGGGCTAGTGTATAATGGAGAAGCATCTTGTGGTTCTAGAGGCTGCATGGGTCATGATGTATCTCAGCTGTGTCCAGTGTCCAGCCCCTTTTTACTGTTGTGTCTGTGGGTAGTTGCCTATGTAGGAATTAGTAAGTCAGCAAGGCCATTTGGGAGAAGCATCCTGGATGGGCATCCTCTTGGTATAGCTATGGACTAGGAGTTAGGCCAGTGAGAGGGTTGTGAGAACAGTCAGTTGTCTTTTTTTTTTTTTTTTTAAATCTAGAGCTTCTTGAGCTCAGAAATGTGTCATATAGGGCATTGCTACCTTTAAGAGAGTAAAGTGAGAACCCTGATCAAACCTTGTTCTTTCTTGCTTGTGATGTTAAGCTATTACAACACCCACATAGGAATCTAAGGTCTCCTTGTGTCTCTTTTGTGGGGCTCAGGATAGATACAGGCCTTCCCTCTTTGGCTTCAAGGCATATCTTCCATGCCAGCAAAATTAATGAACTGTCCGTAAGATGATTGTTATAAAGAAGTGTCCTCAGAGGGACGGAATGCAAGAGGAGAGCCAACACCCAGGAATAACAGTCCTCTCTGGACCTCTAACCCTTGTGCATTGTTGGTCTAAACAGGATTCCTGAAGCCTTCCACTGGGGCAGTGTCTCACACGGGCTCCTTAGGCCTAGTGTCCTTGAGTCCCTGAAGCAGGAATCCCTGGAGCAGGATGTGTCACATCAATTTGATGAGATAGGCCTGTTGTATATTTTGGCTTATGTACCCAAAGCTACTAGACACTGACAACACCTCCAGACTTAGAGATGTGGAAAAGGACTTTACCCAGGAGTTTCTTACAGCCTGAAATGTCTTTCAGATACATGTGGGAAGGCAATTCCAGGCAAAGCAAGCTAATCTGTGCCTCCTTGTCTTTAGACCTGCAGGCTGGGATAATGAAAAGAAAATAGCTATTTTACATGAAAATTTTACAACCGTGAAGCCAGAAGATGCATATGAAGATTTTATTGTAAAGCCTCCTGTGAGAAAGGTACCTTAGTCCCTTGAAGGCCTTTTTTAGGTGGTTGTAAGTCATGAAAATGAGAGCTGATATTACAGGAATGGCTTTCGATATGAAGTGTGAGTGATGATATGTCCGTGTCAATTGTGGTCTCATTTTCTGTCAAGTTCCAATGGTGCTCCTATCACTTCTGGATTATTTTTGCTAAATCCCCTCCCTTTGGAGTCTTCTGAAGACTATGATCTGGGAGGTACTGTTTAGGACCTGCCAGACTTAAAAATTGGCTATATGCCATGGCTAGTTCTGGGAGAGAGTCTGTACCCGGTTAGAAAAATGTAACTACACTTTGAAGTAAGATCCCCCAAATCTATGTGGAGGCCTGGATCAAGATTTTTGTAGCATAAATTTTGAGAGTCATTTGAGAATTTTCATTGCTTGTGGCCACAAACATGTATTGTTTCACAGCTGGTCCATGACAAAGAGTTGGCAGCAGAGGATGAGCAAGTGTTCCTAATGAAACAACAGGTAAGAGGCCCTCTCTTCCAGGGAGTTCCCTTTCCGGAGGGGAATGGGGGCTGTATGTGTTGGAGAGTTTACAGAGGCATGGAGGTTAAGATGAGGTTTCCTTGTTTCCTCCTTTCTCTACGGGATGGGGATTGGAGCGCTTGCCTCATGATGCCTGCCTGCATTGGACATTATCCTGCAGGGATGGGCTTAGTGTGCTTATGTGCCCTATGTGCCCTGGGAAAACTGGCTGGCTGGCTTCTTGAATTGACAGTTTATCAAGTGGCCTGGCTTCACTTCCGTTTTTCTTACAGTATATAAAAGCAGATAATACACATTTTGTAGGTAAGAAGAGTAATTTCCCCAAGCTGTTAGCTTTTTTGTTCTAATTTTTTTTTTTTTTTAAAGGCAAGTTCTCATATTTTCCAGGTTGGCCTTGAGCCAATATGTAGCTAAGGATGGCACTGAACCCTGCTGGGATTACAGGAATGTGGCCCAACACTTGGTTTTATGCAGTGCTGGGAATCTAACTCAGCTTTGTGCGTGCTAGGCACGTATTCCACCAACTGAGTTACATCCTCGGCCCCAAACTGACGGTTTTAATATAATATTTTATTTATTTATTTATTTATTTTATTTATTTATTTATTAAGTCCTGGCGTGGTCAGACACCTGTCGGCCCCAAACTGACGGTTTTAATATAATATTTTATTTATTTATTTATTTATTTATAAGTCCTGGCGTGGTCAGACACCTGACGGCCTGGGAATTGAACCCGGGGTCTTCTGGAACATCAGTCAGTGCTCTTAACTGCTGAGCCATCTCTCTTCCCATAGTATTTTATTTTTAAAAGAACTTTATGTGGGCTAGAAAGATGGCTCAGTAGCACTGGCTGTTCTTCCAGAAGTCCTGGGTTCAATTCCCAGCAACCACATGGTGGCTCACAACCATCTGTAATGAGATCTGGTGCCCTCTTCTGGCCTTTAGGGATACATTCAGGCAGAGCACTGTATACATAATAAATAAATAAATAATATTTTTTTTAAAAAAAGGACTTTATGCATATATACAGTGTGATTTTATGACATTCACCCTCAACTTCTTCCAGTCACTCTGATTCTACCTAAGATGACAATTTTGAACACAAACCCAGTATTTTTTTTTAAATCTTACCAGTTTATTTATTTATTTATTTTAATTTTATGTACATTGGTGTTTTGCCTGCGTGTATATCTATGTGAGGGTGTTGGATCCCCTGGAACTGGAGTTACAGTCAGTTGTGAGCTGCCATGTGGGTGCTGGGAATTGAACTCAAGTCCAGTGGAAGAGGAACCACTACTCTTAACTGCTGAGCCATCTCTCCAGTCCCCACAAACCCAATCTTAACATTTCTCTTTGACACAAATTGTTAGACCTGTCACCCTCTCCTAACAGTCTGTCCAGGTCCTGTTAGTTTTTGGCAGTTTTTTCCCAACTCTTTCCCTTTTCTATAGCCTGATATTCCCTTAGCTTCAACACTGGTTACTGGCGCCCTGTAGTAGAGTCATAGGAGTCAACCCTTTCTCCAGTCCTCACTTCATGCTGCAGGCCTTGTTTAATGGCCAGTTTGTCCCTCTCTTTGCAGTCACTTCTTGCCAAGCAGCCTGCCACGCCCACAAGAACCTCCGTGAGTACCTTAAACCAAACAGGGGGTCATGGCCCAGTGTCGTGGGTGCCTTCTAACTTTCCACCATTATTTGTAACAGTTTATGTTTATGTGGGCTTTTATATTCTAAAGTGAATTGGTCTCCCTAAAGGCCCACAGCCAGAAATACAGTAGAGTCTTAGAAATGTTTGATGAAGTACTACAACTGAGAATTGGTAGCTTTTAGCTCTTTTCTCAGGAGGCTGAAGCATAGAAAGGGACCGAGCTGGGAGCAAACCACCACTGTTATACTTTAGACATGCAAAAATGTGTTGATTTGAAATTTGTATTTTTTGTTATTTTTATACCTATGTGTGATGTGGGCTGGTTTTGGACTTAGGAATCTCCTGCTAGAGGACCTTCTGGCTCTCCAAGGACCCAGGGTCGGGGTGGACCAGCTAGTGTGCCAAGCGCCTCCCCAGGAACATCAGTAAAGAAACCAGATCCAAACATCAAAAGTATGTATGCTGTCTTTGGGGAAAGATTGTAGTCCTGGACCCACAGGACATGCCATAACAGTAGCTGAGGCTCTCAGGTGGAAATCTAGTAAAGCTGGGCTCTTGTCTTTCCAACAAAAGTTACTTCCCAGCAAGGATGAACCATGTGTACCTGGCATTGTGCAAAACCTCAGACCCTGCAGGTGCCGTCAGAAAAGAATACAACTTAGGAAGTCACTGTTCAATATGTATCTTGAATCTGTAGTTTTATTTCTTAGGCTTGTATTAATACTATTTATGAATTGGCTATTTTATTTTCCTTTTGTTCTTACCAAGCTAGACCAAGGTGTTATCCCAGTACTTACTGATACCCAAAAGTACTGGCTACAGTAAACCATTAGAACAAAATTCTATAAATTCTTTCATGTTCAGCTAGCATCTTTTATATAGGATATGAGTGTTTCACAATAGGCTGAGTTTTATGGGCTTATAAAACTGAAAAGCACTGCACTAAGGACACAGAGATGACAAAAACAAAGATTTTTCTGTGACCTTCAAAGGTGGAAAATGTAAACATGTTTCCACTGGTAATCTCATCACTGCCCAGTTAGCCTCAGCTAACAGTGACCACAGTGAATGTGGTCAGTGAGCTAAGAAAGTGACAGCCACTGCTGCTTAATTCCAGTCTAAGAACCACTTTTCTGTCAAGTCATCAGTGTGATGTTTTGTTATGTTTTTCTTTTGTGTTTCCTTAGATAATGCAGCAAGTGAAGGGGTATTGGCCAGCTTCTTCAATAGTCTGTTGAGTAAAAAAACAGGCTCTCCTGGAAGTCCTAGTGCTGGTGGAGTGCAGAACACAGCCAAGAAGTCAGGTAGGGCCTCAGAGCTTTAGATCCCCTGTCTGAACAGTGCTGGCAGGATGGTGATTTAGACACAGTGATTGCCTTCACCAGCCTGCAGACCTCCAGTGTTCTGACTAGCTGGGAACAGAACTAAGCCTTGTGCTGGCCTACTTGGCACATCACATTTAAAGTGTGATTTGATGTACATTCAGGCTGTGGAGTAAAGCAGCATAAGGTTTAAGTTGTGACTGTGCCCTTGATCTGGAAACTCCACTGGAGGTCATCGTGAAATATGCTATTGATATTTATTTCATTTTATATGATACTTCAAGAGTTTTTATTTGCTTGAGCTGAAGAGATGGCTCAGCGATTAAGATCACTTGATATTCTTGCACAGGACCTGGGTTTCTCAGAATTCACACAGTGGTTCACGACCATCCTTAACTCGGGTTCCGGAGGATCTGATACCCTCTTCTGACCTCCTTGGGCATCAGGCATGCAAGTGGTGGGAAAAAAAAAAGGAGAAAAAGAAAGAAAAGAAAAAGTTTCATTTGCTTTGCTGCCCCTAATCTTCCAGGGAGTTAGAGCCTGTGAACCTGCACTCTGGCTGCAGGATCTCTCTGTGGTGACCCAGCCATCTAGCCTTCCGTTTAGGTTGGTAAGATAAGGGGTTTCTGAAACAAAATGGTGAAGTCCTTGGGAATCACATACTTTCTTAGTCTAGAGAACATTTATTTCCTTTTTGTGAGGCCAGGGATCAAACCCAGGAGTTGGTGAATACTAAGACAAGCCATAGAGTATATTTTAGGCTTGCCTTTGTATATTTAGAGATGAACCTATGCTGGCCTCGAACCATTGATCCTCTTACTAGGACTGTAAGTGTGCACCAAAGTACCCCACATATAAAGGGCATGTTAAGCATATGTTAATGTGGTATTTTCTCTAATCTATTTTTCCAAAATAGAACATTAAAAGATAATTTTGTCCTTGGGGCAGTCTGGGCCTCCAGCAACTTAGGACTTCTTAGAGACTCAAGAATCTGATCTGGCAGGGCGGTGGTGGCACACGCCTTTAATCCCAGCACTCGGGAGGCAGAGCCAGGCGGATCTCTGTGAGTTCGAGGCCAGCCTGGGCTACCAAGTGAGTTCCAGGAAAAGCGCAAAGCTACACAAGAGAAACCCTGTCTCGAAAAAAAAAAAAAAAAAAAAAAAAAAAGAATCTGATCTGTGCCTCAGCCTCAGCCTTGACCTGGTATTTGTCCCTTACCAGAAATAGAGGTCATTGTCCAGGCCCCAGACATTGTTTTGACAACAGAAAATAGGAGTACCAGTTTTGTGCAGGATTGAACTGCTCAGCCTCAATCTCATCATAAAACATGGTCTTTCCATGTGAGTCAGTTTAAGCTAAATTACTTTATGGGTTCATTTTGTTTTATTTTTCAGGAATTGAACCCTGTGTGTTAATGCAAATACTTTGCCAAAGCTACCATTAGTCAGTCTGAAGTGTTGCAGTTAGAAATAAAAGCTGAGTGAGTGCCTGTCTGGGAAAGAAAGTAGTTTACTGCATGCCTCAAATTCAGTGATGACCTCCAGGGAGATGGTGGAGAAAGTACACAGGGCATAGGGATGGGGTAAGGGTTTTTAGAAAGGCCCCTTGAGTTTGGCACAGAGGCTTCCCTATCCCCTGCTAAGAAGGCAGCTGCATAATTGGAGGAACACAGACCTGTGACACTGGCATTAACAAAGTTAGGATCTGTCTCATTGTCCTTGGCAAAAAGGCTTTTCTCATGTTTGAGGATATTGTCACTACAAATGATGGCAGAAGTCTGTGTGGTTTTATTTGTTTTTAGTTTTTCAAGACAGAGTTTCTCTGTCTCTCTGGCTGTCCTGGAACTAGCTCTATAGATCAGGCTGGCCTTGAACTCAGAGATCCACCAGACTCAGCCTCCCAAGTACTGGAGTTAAAGGCTATCTGTATGATTTTAAATGCTTCTTTTAAAATTTTTTTTTCTCCATCAGAGCCAGGCAGTGGCGGTACACACCTTTAATTCCAGCACTTGGGAGGCAAAAGTAAGGTTAGCCTGGTCTACAGAATGAGTTTCAAGACAGCCAGGGCTACACAGAGAAACTGCCTTGTGGGGGAAAAATTTTTTCTCACACTGCTATTTCTTTCTCTTTCTTTTCCTTTCTCTCTCTCGTTCCATTTCCTTTTTTTTTTTTTTTTTAAGGACAAAAGACTGTGTTGTCAAACGTTCAAGAAGAACTGGATAGAATGACTCGAAAGCCAGACTCCATGGTAACAAACTCTACAACAGAAAATGAAGCCTGATCCTCCTTTAAAAGTGCATATGTCAAATGACCAAATAACTATGTATATTTATCTGATAAGACCAGGATTTTTCTGATATGGCACATGCTATCAGTTTTTTGGGGTAGGGGAGATGAACTTTTAAAAAAATATATACTTCATTGGCTTGTCCGAGTGTGAAATGCACATTTAGGAAGGTTACACGTCAGGCTCCTTGTTAGGGATGTCCCGTGGACTCTTGGGCTACGGTTCTCTTGTGGGAAGCAAGCACAGCTGGGCTTCTTTTAGAGTGGAGAAAGGAAGCCCACTTGCTATCAGGGTGGAGCAAATGAGACTAGGAAGTCATTGATCAGATGGTCGTTAGTTTGACCAGTTGCGTGTTAGCAAAGTCCCTTGTTCTTGGGAAGCAGATTAAGGAGCAGAAAGTCCAGGAAAGAGAAGAGTTCAGGAGGGATGAGAGAAGTGCTGGGGGGAAGCTGAACGTTCGGGAGGTGGAAGAAGGAAGTGAGCGGCATGAAGTCATGCACAGTAGAAGGCAGATAGCATCGTTTAAGACTTAACCAATTAGAAGCATTTCCAAACTAAACACGAAACAGATGGGAATTGGGCTGTTCTGAGTGCATCTTTAATTTATGAGAAATGTGTTTTGTGTGGGGACACCTGAGAAAGGTGGATCTGACACGGGTGGTGGAGATGGCACCTGCCCAGAACCCACATGCTTGGCCCAGGCCTTGTCCTTTTGTCCTTGGAGAAATGCTGACTCTGCGTCTATAACCTGGGACAGGCAGTTGCTGTGGGTTGTGTTCGAAGTCAGCAGATACAAAATTAGTTTACTTTGATTTATATATTTTAAATAGCTCCTGCTTTGTTTTTTTAATTATTATTTTTAACTACCACAGGCTGGCCAACTAACAGAAAATGGGTGATTGATCTCTCATTTTACCATAATGGCAGTGTGCTATATAAAGTTTGGGGGAAGTATTTAACATCATTGCATTCTGGTTAATTAGCTTGTACCAATTCCTGCCTTAGAGTCTGTGGTAACCTTCACTGATACAAAAGGTTCTTTCTGTAGCTCCCTGGTCTGATCACTGTTACCAGACCAACAAGTGAGTGCTTTACATTGAAAATGGAAGTGACAGGTTTGTGTTTGTCATAAATGTAGCACTTCTTTTCTTATGGAAGTGAGAGTTTTATGTGTCTTCCATTTAGGGGCATATTCATGCACATCATCATGTCACACCACCATTCTGAGAATGACTTCTGTGGATATGAAATAGCACTTTGAGTTTTCTGTGTGACACAGCACATGTAAATGCAAACACTACCATGACTTTAATGTATAAGACATTTGTTGTCCAAACCAAGGGGAAAACCACAGTTCACTTCCGTGGAGTTTACTTTTTTATTTGAATGTTTGTTATAGTGTGTCTTGGCATAATGTCCCTAATGTCATTACTTTATATGCATACCAGACTTGACTAACCACTAATGTAGTGCTGGGCGGAAGTTAACATCTAGTTTTATGACAAGGCTCCTCGACTGTCTGGAGTCATTTTGTAAAGGTCTGAACACTGTTAAGGAGAAAGCTGAGTGCTTACTTGCCTCTAACAACAAAAAGATGTTTTTTGTGCCGGTTTTACTGTTGAAATATATTATTTTTTTCATTTTTAATTCTGTTTTTTTGTTGTTGTTATTTTGGGGTTTTTATTTTGTTTTTGTTTCTGAAAACATGCATTGTTGCTTCAAATGACCAGGTTGTCTTAAGTGATGACAGTAAACTGATAGAGTGAAAGTTGTGATGTAGTGACCTACAGATGCCATATGGGCACATAAAGGTAGGGTTGCTTAATCTCTACAGCAGCCAGGGAAAAACGAGTGACCTCAGAAACAAGGAAGGAAAGACAACATGCCTAATTGTGTGTTTTTGTTTTTGTTTTTGTTTTTAATTTTGATGCAAAATTTAAAATGTATCATTTGAATAGTTAAGCACTTTTTGTGTTGATGTAAAACGTGCTAAAACCAACCAATGAAATGCTGAGGCCTGGTCTTGTGAAGGTTTCTGGGAGAGCACTGTTACTCCTTTGACACTTGGATGCTTCTAGTTTCAGAAGAAACTGACGTATGTTACCACATGCTCAGTGGTTGCCAAAGTCTACCAGCTTTGGGGAGCTTCAGGGTTCTTATGGGGTTTGGGGAAATGAGGTAATTTTTATTATTTTAGCATTCTCAAGCATTGGAACCAAAGGCCAGATAATAAACAGCCTTCACTTTTTAAAGTAAAATTAATTTTATTTGCAGAATACACTTGTATGGTAGACTGTAAAAGACAATTTTATGACTATTTATACACATTATAGTGATTACCTCTGTTTGTCTTTAAATGGATAATTTTAAATAAGCCCAACCTAAAAGTTACAGCCCAGATGAGGGCTATGAATTGGTCTTTCCTAAAAATCCAACAGATATGCTGCTAGATTATTTAATTTGCACTTTTTTTTTCTTTCTTTCTTTTTTTTAAAGACAGGGTTTCTCTATATAGTCCTGGCTGTCCTGGAACTTGCTCTGTAGACCAGGCTGGCCTCCAGCTCAGAAATGCACCTGACTTTGCCTCCCTAATGCTGGGATTAGAAGTGTGTGCTACAATGCCCAGCTGTACCTTTGTTTTGTTTTGTTTTGTTTTGTTTTGTTTTTTTAAATTGGCATTTAAAAAACAGTATTTAAACTGAAGAAACTGTTTTTTTAACTTGATGAAGTTAAAAGTGACTGCTCTGTACATCATGACCTTAACAATGCTGATGCTGTAAGTGAAAGTTCACTGTTGTCTCTCTGCTAAGTTCATTGGTGTTTTTAACTTAAATCCGGAGTGCAGATGATCTCCCACTGGCCTTAGTCCAGGGCGTGGCTCTATCTGGGTGCAGTATGCAGTCATGTGGAACCTTGCTTTCTAGTGCTGGGGAAGATGTCTAATTACTGGCTTCAATAAACATGAATCCAGACTGCTTACAGGTTTTGGTGACTTTGTTTTTGATAAATCATTTCACTAGGTATCTGTTAACCACTGATCATATGGGGGTATATGGGTATGTGGCAATGTAGCTAAAAATATGTACCTTGGGCTGGTAAGATGGCTCAGTGCCATGAAGCTGCCATGAAGCTTGACAACCTGAGTTCAATCCCCAGGACCTACTTGGTGGAAGGAGAGGATTGACCAACACAAGAACATACACAGTAAGATAAATGTACCTCTCTTGCTTAAAATAATCAGAAATGGGAGCTGAAGAAATGGCTCAGTGGTTAAGCACACTTACTGCTTGTCCAGCCTCCAGAGATCTGAGTTCAGTTCCTAGAACTTCATCAGGCAGCTCACAACTGCTTGTAACTCCAGCTGTGGGGGATCTGACAGGTATCCCATACACATACACAGAACCAGATTTTTTTTTTTTTTTTTTTTTTTTTTTTTTTTTTTGATATGGAGTCTGCCATCTAGCTCTGGCTGGCCTGGAGTTTTATATCCACCAGGCTGACCTCAAATTTATGGCAGTCCTCCTACCTCTGCTTCCTAAGTATTGAGTTTATAGAATGCCTAGCCAATAATCAGAAATTCTGATAGAATATTTAAAGCTATACTTCAATGGTTGCCCATGCAGAGGCTTTGTGGGTTGCCATGTGTTGCTTTCCTGTTCTGAAGTGCAGTGAATGATTTTTCATGTGGTTGATTTAGGAGTGTTGAGAATTCATAGAGAAACTTTAAAGCAATGTTATAAGCTTTTCTTTGGTTTATTTTTTCAGGCTTTTAAAGATTTATTTCTTTTTGCCAGGCACTTGTGGCACACACGTTTAATCCCAGCACTCATACTCGGGAGGCAGAGGTAAGCCAATCTCTGAGTTCAAGGCCAACCTGGTCTACAGAGGTAGTTCCAGGACAGCCAGGGCTACACAGAGAAACCCTGTCTCAAAAAACCAAAAAGGAAAGAAAAAAGAAAGAAAGAAAAAAAAAAAGATTTCCTTTTATGTGTATGGGTGTTTTGCCTATGTGTATATCTGTGTCCATGTGTGTTCATGGTTCCTGAAGAGGCCAGAAGAAAGTGTGAGACCCCAGGACTGGAGTTACAGTTGTGTGCTGCCATGCCAGTTCTGGGAATCAAGCCTAGGTTTTCTGGAAGAGCAGCAAGTGCTCTTAACTGCTGCGCTGTGTCTCTGGTCCCTGTTACTTCTCCTTTGAGATGGCCTCAGACTATATCCCTGGCTGCCCTGGAGCTCACAGAGATTGCTTGCCCCTGCCTCCTGAGTGTTGGGATTAAAGGCGTGCCCCACTGTGCCTGGACCCACCACATTTTAAGAAAAGATTTAGTTTTGTTTTGTTTTTGTGTATTGCTTGCATGTGTATTTCTGAACCACCTGTGTCTTGGTGCCAACAGAGGCCAGAAAAAGGGTATTGGATCCCCTAGGATTGGAGTTACAGCTAGTTGTGAGTTACCATGTTAGTGTGAACCAAATCCTGGTTCTCTGCAAGAGCAGCAAGTACTCACTGTTGAGCAGTCTCCAGCCTCTATTTACCTTTTTAAAACAGCCCTGTGTAGTCTGAAACTCAGAAACTCTGTCTTAGCCTCCCTGAATGCTGGGATCATAGGTGTGCACCACCACCCCTGGTTCCTTTCAGTTTTTTCAGCAGAACACAGTAATATGTGTCGAAGGAAGTTGGGTTTGGGCTGGAGCAGTAGCTCACCTGTTAAGAACACACACTGACTTGGAGAGGATTGGAGTTTGACTCCCAATATCCATCTCAAGGGCTTATAACCGCCTGTGACTTTAGCTCCAGGGGAATCTAACACCTCTCGCCCCCATGGATACCTGTACTCACATTCACATATGCACACACATTCACATAATGAGAAATAAACATTAGACCTGTTGGCAGTGGTGGTGAGCACTTTTAATCCCAGTATTCGGGAGTCAGAGGCAGGCAGATCTCTTGAGTTCTGGGACAGCCAGGGCAGTTACACAGAGAAATCCTGTCTCATGCACTCACCACCTGTCAATAAATAAATAAATAAATAAACAAACAATAAAAGAGAAAGTTGGGTTCTTTATATTGAAATGCATGAATTGTGGAATGTTTTTGTTATTTGTTGGATTTTGGTTTTGGTTTTTCAAGACTTTTTTTTTTTTTTTTTGTAGCCCTGACTGTCCTGAAACTAGTTCTGTAGACTAGATTGGCCTTGAACTCATAGATCCACCTGCCTCTGTGTCCTGAATACTGGGTTAAAGGCATGCACCACCACCATCTGGCATTGTTATTGTTTTGATTTTGAGCAGACTGTACAGATTTATTTAGGAAAAACAAGAAGAGCTGAGTGAGGAGCTTCAAAGAGAAATACCCCTGCTGCCCTTTGTTTTGGGACATGTCATGAAGCCTAGCTAACCTAAACTCTTCATCCTTCTCTCCAGCTCTCTAGTGCTGTGGTCCAGCAAGCCTTACTCATGAATTATATTTCTGATTATTGAAGTCTTACCAAGCTGAGCGGTGGTTGCACGTGCCTTTAATCCCAGCACTTGGGAGGCAGAGGCAGGCGGATCTCTCTGAGTTCCAGGCCAGCCTGGGCTATAGAATGAGTTCCAAGACAGATTCCAAAGCTACACAGAGAAATCCTGTCTCGAAGAAAAGAAAAAAAGAAAGAAAAAGAAGTCTTACCATCTTTGCTCCTCAAGTTTTATTTTAAAAATTACAAACCTGCCAAGTATGGTGGTGGCGGCAGCGGCAAACGCTTTTGATCCCAGCACTCAGGAGGCAGAGGCAGGCGGATATCTGTGAGTTTGAGACCAGTCTGGGCTACAGGAGATCCAGGACAGCCAGGGCTACACAGAGAAACCTTGTCTTGAAAAAGAAAAACATTACAAACCAAAGAAAAGAAAATATTGAAAAGAAATATATGGAAATACACTTTTGTTTGTTTGTTTTGTTTTCGAGACAAAATTTCTCTGTGTATCTTTGGCTGTCATGGAACTCAATCTGTAGCCCAGGCTGGCCTCAAACTCGGATCTGCCTGCCTCTGCCTCGAGTGCTGGGATTAAAGGCACGCACCACCACCTGGATCACATACTCTTTTCTAGAGATTCACACTTCTGCTCTTCTTACAAGATACGATCTCATTCTGTAGCCTAGGCTGACTCTTGCTCTGCTTCCCAAATTCTGGGATTATTGGCATGAGTCATGATGCCCTTGCTTTACCTGTATTTATTTAACTGTCATAAATCCACTCGCTTCATCCTCCTTCCTCCAGCTCTCCTCTTGATCTACTTTTTTACATCTGGTCACATAGGTTTTAAGGCTAGTGGTGTAGTTTACTTGTAGAGGGCTTGCCACCATATACAAGCCCTTGGCTCAGCCTCCATACTGCACAGAGACAAAATTCAGAGTATTTCACCCTTGAATAGATTGATCCAGGCTAGTTCCAGACCAAGGTGGTTTAAACTTTCCACTCTTGACCACTTTGTGCTTGAATTTTTAAAAAAATTCTTTGGTCCAAGTTGTGATATGTGCCTGTAGTTCTATCACTTGTGATACAGAGATCAGTAGTTTATGGTCATCCTTGGCTACACAGCAAGTTCATAAGCCAGGTTATAAGAACCCCTTCTCAAACAAAAACATGGTGTCTTTATAATTTCTCATTTATTACATGTAAAGGCAATTTGCATATTACTGAGATAATGTGCTTTTTTTTTTTTTTTTAACCAAAATTGGAGAACTTCACACTTCAGTCCATTTTCTTGTCTTCATAAAGGGGTAAAATGTCTTTCCAGTCATGAACAGCAGAGGAGGTTCATGTATGTCTGCCTTATGGTAGGGTTTCACTGTGATGATCCTGAAAGCAACTCCTCATTAACATGGTTGTAGCAACCTCTTCCTTAACCCCACTCCTTCCATTTATGGCATTTTGGTTTATAGTTTAAGGAAGTAGAGGTTAGAGGGAGGGATATGCCTCAGCCTTTCCCCATGAGTCACATTGTATCCCTCCCTGTTCCTTGTCTCCTTCCCCTTCCCTACAAGGCCTATAGACAGACAGCAGGACACAAAGTCTCTCTTCTGATGGTCTGTCTCTTTTAGTGAGTCAGGGATGGTAGCTGGGAGATGAGTGACAGACAGTAACAGTGGAAGGTACAGTTTAGACCCCAGGAAAGAAGGCTGCACCCAGGTGGTTTGTAGTTAGCTTGGCCTGGACCAGTGAGAGAATCTCAAGGTCAGAAGGGAAAACAAGCTTTGCAAAGTAGCAAAGGTTTGCAAAGCCCCAGTTCTGTGGGGATGGGACCCCAGAGCTGAAGGGATTACATGCTATGTGGGACAAGAAGTCTTTTAACCACTTAGTCATATTTTAGATAGTAGCCTGACCTACTAAATGTTTTTAACCTTGTTAAATTCTTTTGTGTTCTCACTAGTGGCCCCTGCCTATTTTTTGTGTATGAGTACTTTGTCTGCTTGTGTGTATGTGCACCATGTGTGTATCTTGTGCCCACAAAAGTCAGAAGAGGACTTGGGCCCACTCGGACTAGAGTTACAGATAGTTGTGAGCCTCCATGTGGATGCTGGGAATCAAACCTGGGCTCTTCCATAAGAGCAACAGGTGCTCTTAACTGCTCAGCCAACTTTCCAGCCCCAGCCTAAGCTATTTGAGACCCTGTATTTAAAAAAAAAAAAAAAAAAAAGCAAAAAACTAAATAGCATCCTCATCAAGGAAACTTGTCTTTGCGGCAGACACAGATCATGAAAGAAAACTACAACCAATCAAAATGCATTGTTAATGGATCCTAATCCCAATGGACACATCTACAGAACAAATCCTGTACTTAAGGCTCAGGGAACCTTTTCAGAAGAGGAAGCAAAAAGATTTTAAGAGCCAGGAGATCTGGCAGTTTGCTGTGAAATTGTGTCTCCTGTTAATGTCAGAAGCTACTACCTTGAAAGTCTTACCAACATGACTGTCCAATCATAAACTGAACAAGGACAA